TACTATATATATATATATATATATATATATATATATATATATATATATATATATATATATATCTTGCGAATTTCATTTCATTTCATTTCTTAATTATGCAGTCTGAGGTGAGCATTCTTGGAAGATTTTCTCATCCTAACCTGATCAAACTCCTGGGTTACTGCCAAGAAGATGAAGTACTACTGCTTGTCTATGAGTTTATTCCAAAGGGCAGCTTGAGCAACCATCTTTATGGAAGTAAGAGACTATGTGTATATTTTTCAATAATATATAACATATTTGTAGATTGAAGCAGCAACGAATGTGCCTAAACATATTTGTTTCTTAGGTCACTCTGCTGCTTTTTCACTTCCATGGATTGTAAGGGTTCAAATTGTGATTGACACAGGTCGAGGCTTGGCATTCTTACATGCATCAGAGAAGCAAGTCATTAACAGAAACTTCAGTGCCTCAAATATATTACTTGATGGCGTATGTTCTCTTTACTTCTCCCTAGGAATATACCTTTATTAGCGCAAGTAATAAAAGTATCACAAGCGCTTTTCTTACTTGGCACCTTTTTGGTTTACACATAATGTTTTGCCTATATTTTTTGAGCTATTCATCACAGAGAGAAAAAACCTGACGTATAACAGTGAAAACATTAGAGAAAGGTTGTTATTAATAAAAGTTTTGATGTTTCAGTCTTACAATGAGAAAATAGCAGATTTTGGCTTTGCAAAACAAGGTACTTCGGCTAGTCAATCACATGTGACAACATGGGTAATTGGGACGTACGGTTATGCTGCTCCCAAGTATGTTGCAACAGGTAAACGTGGAGTCTGTTGGGCTTCTGCACTTGAAAATTCTACTTCTCTTGAATCATATCTTGTGCTTACAAGTTTAAACATATACTGAAGTGAGAATAAATGTGTATTATTTATTTTCTACAGGACACTTGTACTTGAAGAGCAATGTCTATTCTTTTGGTGTCTTTTTAGTGGAATACTAAAAGGTCTACGAGCACTAGACAATAACCGGCCAAGCAACCAGATTAATCTAACCGACTGGATTAAGCCTCATTTATCTGACAGAAGGAAGTTGAAGGATAGAACCGATTCACGGCTGGGAGGAAAATATCCATCCAGAGATGCAGTACAAATAGCACAACTGGAACTATTATGTCTTGGAAATGAACCTAAAAGCAGGCTGTCCATGGAGGAAGTAGTGAAGAAACTAGAACAGATTGAAGTTACCAATGAAAGATCCAAGGACCATGTTTCTTCTAATACAAGGAGCCGGGCCTATCCACTCGTTAGAAGAGCAGAGTGAATATGATACTATTTTTAACAATATGAAGAAGCTACTATGTTGAGTATTGTTTTATTTAAAAACATTTTTTAAGACTGGTTTCAGAATTGCCATATTTTTGAAGAAAAATTAAGAAAACTTATTCTCAAAAGATAAAAACAATAAATTGATTGAAAATATTTAAGGGAGTTCGGGGATTCTTATTAGTATTTCAGGAAGATTTCAAAGGCACCTAAAATACCTACTAACGTGGTTATCCGATAATTAATTTAGCTAAAAAGTGAATTGACTTTGACTTTTTTTTTTTTTAAAAAAAAAAAACAAGTTGAATCATTTTTATAGTTAGAACCGGTTTAAGAGAAAAAATGGAAATATTGACCTACTAATTGAAATATTTGTTCAAAAAATTATTTTTAAGTTCATTAGAAGTTTCCAGATTTTAGTGAAATTATTTAACCAAATGGACGACCTCCGGGGATTTGAACTTTTCAGCCTTAAGACTAACGACAAAATATTAGCAAATAGATAAACGCAGTAAACTAAAGAGGAAAAGAGAGTTGGATCCAAATCTGGTTTTTTCCGCCTGGACAAGTATTTGGACCCATTTCGTTTTGGGCCTTAGGACTGTAACAAGTTGTACTTGTCTTAAACTTTTAGCAAAATAATAATAGTAAAATGACAAGGGCTTAAGCCCAAAAATAGCAAAATACAACTTTTTGAGAATAAATTTGGGCTTTTGGACCCATTCTCTTTAACTTCCAATCCGTTTCAAATTCTTTTAACTTTGGGACCTGTACGTCGGTTTTTTTGAGCTTGATTCAAATAAAATAGAATTCAGCCTCCATGGTCCAAAGGAAAATGTAAGGGTAAAGTCCGTGAGTGCCCAGAGAGATTTCACATACATAAAAAACATGTGAGACCAATTCGAGTCATTGTAGATCGACAATTCTATTACAGAAAATTCAAACATGTGGGCATAAAATTTGGCATCCCCACAAAGAAATAACTGAACTCATAAAATTAGGAAACAACCAGGGCAAAGAGCTTTACGCTGTTAAAGTAATGACAGTTGAGACATGCCAAGTAGCAACTATTTGAATGCTCAAGTTATCACATAATTTACTCATATTAATTAAATCTAGTATTTTTTTAACAAATTAGACACTTTACAAGTGTACAAATGAATACTAAACCAACACTAATGCCATAAAAGAATTCGAACAGAAGAATAACCAATCAATGCAAAAGATCAAGAACCAAAACCATAACAACATGTGACCGAACTACTAAAATTAATTTATATAGGAGGAAAAATAAACCGACATGCTACACATACAATAGTCAATGCCGATAAGCTCATCTTTCAGATAATCTTAGGGGGTAAAAATTCCAAACCTTAGCCAAAAAAAAAGACTGAGACATGGGAAGTAAGAAAAAAGAACTTCACTTCAAACGGTCTTCAATACAAAATTCCAGCAAGTCCTAAAATTGGATAGATGAGACAAGAAAGAACTTATGTTTATTTGACTCTACGCGCAAATGCGAGCATTTTTCGACTTAAAATCGAATGTCATAAAGATGCAACTTAATTCAAATAAGTCAAACGTAGTAAGATAAAAAAGGATATTCAAGAAATAGGTAAAACTAAACGACTAGAACAAACACACGACCACACCATACATAATTGAACATATCAATCGGTCTTAAAAATAAACTTGTAAAAGAGCAAACTCAGACAATGACGATCCTAAATATATCACAACTGATGCTTCGAGCAAGAACTAGTCTCAAGAAAAATAAACATCAAATACAATCAAGCAACGAAATATAGGAACAACCATACTAGATAAGATTTCTAGAACCTTAAATAGAGTTACGACTAACCAATGGAAAAAAAGAAAAGAAGATATATGCTTCGAGTTAACATTATTAATAACCCAACGACGACTATTCAAGGAGCAACCAACAGAGTAGTGGTTTTTTTCTTCAACATTAATGGATGAAATGGATAAAAATACAGAGAGGAAAGCTAATGGAGAAAATGTTACCTTTTTCGGGCAGCGAACAGGGACGAGGAAACTCGGGCAGAGCTTCTACCACCCCAAAATCGGATATGGAAAACAAAAAAGAGACCTAAGTGACAACTCGAATTCAAATCAAGTTGGGAACAAAGATGAACCAGTAGGGAGAATGGAACTCTGAAAACAAAACCTTCCCTGCCTTTTTGAATGTATTTAATTATTTATTTTTGTAACTACTAGCTTAAGCTATTTTCTATGCTAAAAAATTTCCAACCCAAAAGCCAACTAAAAAAAATTCACCCAGTGAATAAAGAGTAAGAGATGTTTTTAAAAGAGGGGAAACTCTAGGGTTTATGAATGTAAAGGGCAGGTGAATCTTTGAGAAGTCTTGGGGCAAAATGGGGATTCCCCTTCACCCCAAATTTTGAACTTTTCCACCCAAGGAATGGGAAAGGTTGTGGTTTGTACGAAATTTCGTCCAATTCCCACAAGATCCAGACGAGGCAGGGGCTTGGATGACTTGGATTCATTGCTCATCCTCGAATTCTACGTGGCTTTCATCCACGCCATCCCAGGACGCTGGACGCGACTGGCAGGACTGAAAAGAAATACATGCTCTTCTGCAAGTACGTACTGCCGAGGAAGATGAAGCGTAGTAACCATTTGCTTTGGCTCTATCTCCGTCTTCTTGTGAACATAGGAGGAGAGCAAGTTAATGGCATTTGTCACGCCGTTTACCTTCTCCGTAAACTTGCTATTGCGTTAGGAAAACAAGGCATTTACAGAGCCATTTTGAATCTCTCACGCGCTATTGCTACTGTATCACCATGAACATGAGTACATAACATTGCTGGGTTGCTTTTGTGAACAAGGTTTGGCCGGTTCGGGGATGGGGATTGGGCCTGCCAAAAATTGGAAAAGGATGGGTTGGGCTCGACTTAAAAGGTTGGATAAAGGCTCAAAATTTGTTCTATTGATAGATTGGAGGGTGAAATAGGAGTGACTAGATTTTGAGTTGATAAATTGGCCAACAGATTGCAATTATAGTCAAATGGAATTAAAATGTAACCAAATTGAGTTTAATTATAAAATTTGGCTATTTTTTTAAAAAAATGATTTGTCATTAATTAATCAACAAGATTATTAGTTTTAACAAGATAATATAATTAACTTTATTATGAACTAAGGACTCAAAATATAGACTACTAATTTAGACAAAATTAATTTAATAAAGCGTTAAGTAAAACTAAAATCTTTTTGAGATGATTTTTGAATATTTTATAAAATAAAGTAATTATGTAAAACATATATAAATACACATCACTTAAAAATTATAAAAATCGACTAAAGCTACCTTAAAATGACTCAATTTTGCATTGAATTTAATAAAGGCAGCTATTTCAACTCGTTTGGAATTTAAAAAGCTCGATGATCAATTTATATTATGGAGGTCCAAAATTGGGCGTCATTAAATGTCCCACATTTTACTTGAATTGATGTAACAAATTTGAGGAAAACATGAAATTGACTTTGTCCAATTTTGACTGACCACATCTTCATCCTTTGAAAAGAGGATCCGGTCCGGACTTTAGGAATTATGGTCGAACCTCGGAAATGGGTTTCCTAAATATCTCAGACTATTGAGAATTCATTCCACCTATAGTTCGATACGCTTTATTTGACGCACGATTTTGAAAGAATTCAAAAGTCATTCCGATATCAAATTATGAAGAAATAAGGATGCTCGGGACTAAGATTTATGACAAAATATTGGAGTACAACCTAGTTTTCAACATTAATTCCGTCTAAATATATCTCAACTTAGGGAATCAGATTGCTTGCAGTTCGACTCGATTGGTTGAAAAAAAATCTATTATGCTGGAAAACCTTTGGTTTTGGGCAAATGACAAAGTAAGTGGATTAAAAAAAAAGGCTTGCAGCATCTTAGTCATGACTATGGATGCTTTACACCCATAAGTAAGAACTTTTGCTGAGATAATTTCCAAAGCTCTTGGTACATTATCACTCGGATTAGAGAGTTGCTTTCGGTGGAGAACAAAATTTCTGAATGCGAAACTGGGACCAAGAACCTAAAGAAAAATCCACATGCCTTTTGATGGGGTGTGGTTTGATTATGGTGGAAGTCGCTCATCTGCTCGCGTCCTAAGAGTTTGACACTCTTCTTTGGACTATGTCCCAGTTTGGTGCTAATAAAAGTACCATGTTGTGCTGCTTTCTTTTTGATATCGTCCACACTTGTGGTTTCTTTTGGAGAATTCATCCTTCTGGTTGCTCTTGATGGAGACTGAGATAAAACTCATTAGCATAAAATGCAATTCAAGTGGGAGACAATGTCTTATACCGTGTTGACACCTAATCGCTCACTTTAAGCATTTAACGTCAACTCTATTGGTTTTGACGTAGAGAAAATAAAGCTTATATCTCATATTTGTAATATAATATTCAATATACTCTTTCTTTGATGTCAAAGTAATAAAATGCTGATGCGATATATTGATTCTCTCGATATCGTCTTTGATGATTCTCTTGATGTTTACCCTTGCCAATAAAAAATGATGCAGGATGTTGATTTTCTTGAAATGCACGATATCCTTCTTTGCGATGTATATCTCTTTCTCTTACAATATACGACTTTCTTCTCTTGCGATGTATGACCCTTTTCTCTTTCTATGCACAATTTTCTTCCCTTGCAATGCATGAAATCTTTCTCTTGCTATGCATGGCTTCCTTCTCTTGTAATGCATGACTTCTTTTCTGTGATGCATGAATTTCTTCTCTTTCTATGCATGGTTTCCTTCCCTTACAATGCATGACTCATTTCTCTTGCAATGCATGACTTCTTTTCCGCGATGCATGACTTCCTTTTCTTGCTATGCATGCTTCCCGCAATGCTTGACTACTTTTCTCTTGCAGTGCATGACATTTTTTCTGTGGTGCATGAATATCTTCTCGCGATGCATGATCCTCTTCCTGCAATGC